TGTGAAGATGTGTCGTTGTTTTACCATTTCTTGCTTAAGGCACCTTCTGACTCTTTTAGTAAAGAGCTGAATAGCCAATAGCTAGGCAGGAGAGGATAGGTGGGACTTCCAGGAGAGAAGGGAACTCAGGGGAAGAATGAGAGAGGCAGAGATTTGCCAGCCAGACATGGAGGAAGCGGGATGTACAGTATGGCGGAGAGGTAACTATCCATGTGGCAGAATGTAAATTAATATAAATCAGTTAATTTAAGTTATAAGAGCTAATAGGAATAAGCCTAAACTAAGGCCAAACTTTCATAATTAATAATCGGTCTCTGTCATTATTTGGGAGCTGGTACTCCAAAGAAAGTCCTACTACAATAAAGAGACACATTATCACTCGATTTGGTCATTAGGCTGTCACTTGCAAAACTAGCATGCTTGAAACTGATGTTCAAAAATACACAGAAGGCTATATTCATGGAAGGAAAGTACCCAGGGAAGAGAATTCTGTAGATCCTGAATGGGTTGACATAACACACCCCTCAAAACCTCAAAGACTCTCAAACATTTGGGCTCTTAACATCCCATTTGCCTAGGCCACGACTCAAGTAAAGATTGTCCCTGTAACAACAAGAAAAACAAACAAAAACCCAGAGACAACAGAAGCCATGTAGGGCCCAGGTCCTCTTCTCCAGAAAAGGGCCAGTTAAACTATCTCATGACTAAAGTTATATGTACTCTAGTCTTTTTCTTGTGGCTTGCCTATAAAACTCAAGGTGGCTACAGGCAATGGTGGAGAGGAAATTAGATATTTTTCTCCTTATATTTTGGCCAAACACTAAGTAAATCAATGTTTTCTTACCAATTCCTATCTCCCAACTTTTTTCCCCCTCAAGGTGAGGCCTTCCATGGGGGAATCATCAAAGTCTGTCATAACATTTGGGGGAGGACCTAGGCCTTTCCCTGTGTATCTAGGCTGAGAGAATATCCCTTCATGGGGACTGGGCTCCCAAAGTCCATTCGTGCATTAGGGTAAATACTGGTTCCAATGCCAGAGGTCCCATTGACTGCCCATGCCTCCTAACTGATACCCACAATCAGAAGGCTTGGTTCAGTACAATGCTGGTTCCCTAGTTTTACGACTGGGGTCCATGTGCTCCCACTTGATCATGTCAGCTATTTCTGTGGGTTTCTCCAACATGTATCCCCAAACTTATGTAGAACACAGGGGAACTGAGACCGAGGGTTTATGGAGAGAAGTGCTAGGTACCAGCAGGATGGTGATACATCTCATCTCTATGGGAACAGAGACATCCATGCTTGGGATTATTCTGAGCTTTTCAGTCTATACCTCTTCATCTGGTTGTTTGTTCAAATCTTTTATAACAAGATGACAAAATGAGAGTATAGTAAGAAATGAACAAGATAAAGAGATCATTGCAATCTCTAATTTGCCGTGGAGCTGGACAGAAGCTGAGGTAATTTGGGAACACACTGTTTATAATTACATTCCAAAGTGTAGGGTGGAGCAGACTTGGGGGATCAAGCTTTTAACCCATGGAGTCTGTTAGCTCTGGGTAGCATCAGAATTGAATAAATTGTAGGACTCCCAGTGGGTGTCATGAAAAATTAAACGATTATTTGGCATTAACCCCCCCACGCATCTGGTGTCCAATATTATGAATTGGAAAATAGGATATTTATTGTGTTATTTTGTTTTGTTTTTTAATTTTCAGTGTAAGAAATTTTAGTGCTGGGCTCACTAGGGAAGCTCTTGTTTTGACTGATGTGTGGCAACCCTCAAGACACTAGTCATGATGAGTGCCATGGCCCTGGGCCTTGTTTTCCAGACTGGGGTCCTTAGGTCAGTATTGTGGGCATTGTCTGCTACTTGTTAAGAACATAGAATGTCAGAGCTGGGAGGTGATGCTTTGGTAAGACTGCAAGTTTTATACAAGCATGAGAAGACAAACCTGAATTCCAAGCTTCTAGGGAAAAGCCAGGCATGACTGTGCATACCTTGTAAGCACAGTACTAGGGAATAGAGACAGATGAACCCCAAGAAATTACTAAGTCAGCCTAGCTGAAACAGTGAGATTCAAGTTCACAGAGACCCTGTCTCAAGGGCATGTGAATTCAACACATACAGAGACACACACAGACACACACAGACACAGACACAGACACAGACACACACACA